CCCCAAAACCCCAAAACCCCACAAAACTAGAACCTAAAGTCTGTTGAAATAATAAAATTATTCTAATTATCTATAAAATCATTTATTCTTAGAATTTAAAGCATGTTTTCCATTAGACTTATTCCTCCCAGTGTTAAGTACGCGACTTTCGATTGGGAAGAACTCATATTGCTCTTTGTCGATAGGCTACGGTCTTTAAGATATCTTCTTTTGTATTACTTGCCTTGCAGGAGATCTTTTAGAACCAACTCTTGAGCTTTTAGCTGCAGGCTGTTCTTCGTCTTCTATTCCATAGGATTTTATCAAATCACCTAACTTTGCCCCAGAGCTGACTTTGTTCATCCTTTTCTTGAATTAGACTTGAGAACTACTGCAACTGTCGTTAATAATACTAGACTGAGATGATTCTATTCTCACAAGATCATCGTTCATATTGTATTGAAGTGATGGCGTCTTGTTATTCATTCTCTTTTGCTCTTCCTCCATCCTCTTAAGCTTCATCTCTGAATAGTGACTGCTGACGAATCTGTTTTCTGCTGATATTTTAGCCACTGTTTTATTAGTATTAGTTGAGGTATAGCTTCTTACACTGTTCATTGTCAGATCATCTGACTGTATTCCATCTTAATTTCTACTTGAGATATCCTAAATTTTACTGCTTATGTTTCCAATTTCTTGGTTTGAGCTTATAAAGCTTGAAGTTGACTTCTCCTTGTTGAGGTTATGCTTTGAGTAGTACCTTTGAGATTCCTAGTCTTCAGACATATTAAGAAACTGCATAGTTTTCTAAGCAACTGGTGTCTGCTACATCATTTTCATATTCATGTTGGCTTATCTCCTGCGATCCTTGATATCCATTCCATCTCTACAGCTATTTTGTTTATTGTTATCATAGAAGTCTATCTGATGCGGATCTAGTGACGATAAATCAGTGTTTATATTAGTCTCAACAGCTGTAGTTTTCTGGCTCTCTCGACTTTTACTTCGCTTGATTTTTTACTGAGTGCTCATTTACCCTGCTTTTTGCCTAATTGAGAGGATTGCCTTAGATATGTCTTTGTATACTGGCTTTTGGCTTTCAATAATCTACTTTTACTCTTCGTTTAGAAGAGCTGGATCGTAGTTATTTATTTTCATAAGTCTTTTTTCAGTCTCTGTCATTTGTTGCAACTTACTGTTAGCTATTGGAGCCTTTTTTTGTTATTAATCCTTACTCATTGAGTTGTTAGTTCCGCTTCCAGCATTGTTATTCTTAGTAAATTTTTTAAGAAAAGAAACTTGCTAATTAGGAGGATGATTACTATTCCCATTTATATTCACTCTTCCTACACTTTTATTTTGCCCACTATTATTGTTATTCACGGGCCTGATCCCAGTTCTACTCTAATTTGGCGATTATTGCCTTTATTATTATGCCAATCTGATTGGACTGCATATCTAGACATTATCAAAGCGTTTATTAGGACTGGCATAGCGCTTCATTAGTCCCTGTAGATAGTTTGTTCCCTGAATCTCATTTTTCTGAGCATTTTCATCTTGGCTCACACTATTGAAGTTAATGTATGGATCATCCAGTTAGCTTTTAATGGATTCAGAATCTTGTGAGAACAGAATTTTGTTTCTAAGGAGAGTTGTCGGATCATCATTTGGGTTTGTATCGTAACTTGACTTAGCCTAGTTTCTGCGCTCTGTCTTGATTGGGAAATGATCTTCTTTATGGAAGTCAAACATTTATCCTCTAAAGATTAATTATCAATTTATTTCACTTTAAAATTCCAATAATTTATAAAATCTGGCCTCCCGGGGTTTTGGGGTTTTGGGGTTTTGGGG